TTCTTTTCCTGGGCTTCCCAGCACTTCTTTGTCTCCATACACAATTTCAGCCAACTCTTTAGCTGGTCACGCTTTCTTCAGATGTATTTGCCACAGACTGCCCACATACCTGCCACCAAATATTCTGCCACCAAACTCTGCACACATGCTTTTCCTGGAAAGAGAAGAGAAATCTGATTAAATAATTTCACATTCTCTTGATGATTGTGAACTTGGTATTTTACCTCTGACTTAAGCTTTCTGCAACCCTGGCAAAGACTGTGGTCCACGCAAGAATCCTATCTGACAATAAAATCAAGTACGAGCACAAAAAATACCTACAGGTAATGTTTGCATTTTTATAAAGGACATTTGTCAAATTACTTGAACCAAATTTGTACCCCTGCAGCATGAGGCACACTTCCTTCTCTGTGACTTACGGCTACTGAAAGGTCTCAGGGTGAGAGGTCTAAGCCCTGGAGCTATTCCTCCAGTGCAGTGTCTAACCTGGCAGTGAGATTTTATATATTACCTTCCTGAAGCCAGACAGCCACACCCCTGCTCCACAAAAGGTCTGTCAAGACAGAGGAGGAGCTTACTGTAATTAGCATTGACCAATGGGGTATCCAGTCTCCTCCCGTTTATGACAAGGGTAGGGATGGGCAACAGCCCCTACCCTAAAGCCTGTATTTCAAAAACCTTTTGGAGGAACGTGTCTTCTTGTAATCTGTAGAAGAACCAAAGACTCAAAAGAACTTTTATTGATGACTACCATATTTTCCCTTTTTCTTTTTTTAAAGAGGGGCTTTACCACTCCCCTATCTTCCAGATGTTTTTTAATGTGTTTATGGTATAATACTAGAAAAAACAATCAGCAACTGAAACAGGCACACCCAGACCACCTAAGCAGCCCTACCAGGAGTGAAGTATCAGGGTGCATGCTTAAATTACATTAAAGGCAAGAGAACACAGGCCTGAACTTTTAGCTCAAGGTTGCCCAACCATAAAGTAAAAGAAAAAATATGACTAAAACAAAAATATATTTAGAGAACAGTTGCTTGAAGACATATAGAACAGTGAAAGCTTTCTAAATATTATTTCAACTGTTACTCATTTTCATCTACTTAAAAAGACAAGCCAAATCATAATTTGAAATGCTATACTGGAAACCAGAAAGTACTAACTACACAAAGCTGCACTTGAAGTCCTAAACTACATCTGAATAAAAGACCTGAGAGAGCTGTGTAATACCAGCAGGTAAATATTGACTATGTACTACGTATTCAATGTATAGAAAGCTCTTCTTTTTTTTTTGTGAAACACTCCCTTTTTACACTGTAAAGAGACATCAGTAGACAGGGCTGGAACAGGGAACATCTGACAGCTCTTTTCCACGCCATTTTTTCTAATGCCTCAGTCATCAAGTCCTTTGAAATGTGACTAACTGACAAGCTAAGAAGTGTTTATAAGAATGCATATGGGCTTTCTGTGCCAGTGAATGAACCTGATCCCTAATTTGTATGTGGCTCCTCTTCAGCCCATCAGGTCCCTGCAGCATATTGCACAACATCTCTCGTGACAGAACACAGAAGAAAATCTTGTTAAGTTCTTGAAGAATTTACTTATCATCCCTTGCAACAAGTTTTTGTTGTAGGAATTATGAGAGCCTGAATTAGGAATTAGACTTCCTATTTCAAAAAGCTTGCACATAAGTATTTATTTTAACAACTTGAAAATCTATCCATGTGTATTAGGCACCCAGCTCCCACCAAAGTTTTAATACCATTAGAAATTTCTGCAGCCACTTCTGAAAAACCAAACTATGTTGCCTACCTGACTGATGCTACCAAATATCACAGACTTTGTAATTAGCATGAATAGTTTCACTTATATTTAATTTTGCCTCTTCTACCAGAGAAAAGTCTATCAACAAAAACTGGGGGAAAAGTATCAATGTATCAATTAAATAGCAGAGAAGCCTTTACAAAAGCATGGATTTCTCCTGTTTCATGTAGCAAGAGAAAAAAAAAGCACTTACACAGTTTTGATCCAAGTGTTATGATTAATACAAATGTTTCCAATCAAAACCAACTACGCACACAGCAAAGCCTGATAGAAAATTACCACTTTGAGTACTTTAAATACTCTGAAATATTTATTTTCTTTTTAAGGAAGGTTCAACAAGTGCTCTGCTAAAACTACTTATTTAACTCCCACTGCCTATGGGCATTTTGGCAGCAAATGAAGTCTTCTAAACACTGCATAATTCAACTGACTTGACCTACTCCTCTGATCTTTTATTATCAAACGTATGATAGCAACTTTATGGCCATATATTTAAAAGGAGTTCTTCTCTCTCTTACGCCTCTCTTGAAAATACAGAACCGGAAATGTAGTAGAACTTCTTATGACAATTTTAAAGCATATTTTAAAAACTCAAACCGTTAGAAAAACTTGGTGAGGTTATGGTAGCAAAGTTTCCTCAGATCCAGTTTCCCTGGTGCTCGGAGCTGCAGTACCTGTTCATACTCACTTATCAGCACCACCCTCAGTACAGAGTACCTGGGATCTGCCCTCCTGATCTATGGTTCATGTACTTGGAGACACTCCTGTGAGTCAGCCATTCTCAACTCCCTGGATTTATGCCTTTTTCTATTGTTACTATGCCTCAGGTTCAGGGATGAGCTAAGACTCAGAGTTCAAGAGCCTTACATATAGATCTAACACAGGGACAAACACCAGTTTTCCACACCTGCTTAGTAACACCACATTGTATCCAAAATGCTCTCTTAGAGTGCTTGGCTAAGATCCTGTATAAAAAAAACCATTCCCTTTACTCCACTTGAAATTACACAGCCTCTACATTCAGACATTGACTTAAACTGACTTAAGCTGACTGGTCCTAAAATATATAGCTTGGACACCATCTTAAATAGATTAAAACAAACAAACCAAACACTTCAGGGAAAAAAACCACTCCTATATTTGAGATTATTTTATTACTGGATTTCCATTTGGCTGGTCAAATGGAAAAGGAAGAAGAAGTATTGTAAGAGAATCAATGTTAAATTGTTTTTTATTTACTGTCTAAGAGCATGATGCCTCTAAAAGATTCCTGAGTTCAGGCAGAATTCCAGTCTCTCAGCAGAACGGTTTACATTGAACATTTCAGTAGGGATAAAATTTAAAATTCAACAGAAAAACTCAATACATTCCTACAAATTTAGGCAGAAAACAAAGGGGACATGAAATCTTCCCCTTCACCCTCCCCTTCTTCCCCTGTTAAAAATGACATCTGGCTCCCACTTCACTGGTACCCAAGGGTTTCCTCCCACACAAACTATCATGCCTTTGGGGCTGGAGAATAAAAACTTCTACAACACATATACATGCACAGTGATACCAGAGGGATGGGCTGGTTACTGGCACAGCATGCCTTGTACAAGATGCAAAGATTTTATTCACCTTTATATTAACAAATTTAATAACCATATTTCCTTGCATTGCAATTTTTCTAATAATAATACAAAAAATCCCTAGAGAAACAGTGCCTAACACAAGCTCCCTTCCACTGCAGGAGAAGCTTGTTAGATAGAAGAGCTGACTGTCATACTCAGGGGGACACTGAAATAATGAGAATTGAGGGGTAAGCAGGAAAATTTGCTTGGAGACCAAGTCTTCTCCCCACTAGGTGTCTACGCACCTGTGACTCAAACTGCAGCTTTCTCTGAAATATGCTTTCCAAGTGGAGACGACCAAGTTCCACATTAGAACACTATTTTCTGCAAGAAAGTGAGGTCTGTGATGTATCACATAGTAATACCTTTATGCCACTTCCAGTCTGAAATAATTATTTTGAATCTATGGAGATTCTATCACAAGTCTTTGAACGAGTCCAAACATATACACATTGAATAAGTACTCTAAGCACTGTACACCACATCTCATTCCGAAACATCTCAAAGGGCCTTATAAAGGCTGCAAACTATGGACGAACGGAGGAGATTCAGGAAATCAGTACAGTCTGAACTTCAGTCCCGTTGAAAAGGCCGGCAGGTTAACCACTCCGGAGCCCTGCGCCGACATGCAGTCCCCGCCGCAGAGGAGCCGCTCTCCGGGGGCCGGTGCTCAGGAGGTTGCAGCCCCTCCACCGCCGGGGCAGGGCTGCACCGAGCCGGCGCTCCCCGGCGGCGCGGGGACCACGGCAGAGCCCCGGGCACGGAGGACGCCGCGCCGACCGCTCCCGCCCCAGCGCTCCCTACGGACACCCCTTCCGCCGCCCGGGGGGCAGTATCCCGGCGCGGGCAGCAGCACGGCTCCCCTCGCCACCCGGGGCCGGGGCTCCCGGGCAGCCCTGCGGTGGCCGCGGCGCGCCGCTCGCCCTGCCCGTCCAGGAAGCGCCGGGCCGAGCCGCCCCCGGCCGCGAGGGGACAGGCTGCACCATCCTCGGGGCTCCGCCTCGGCCGCAGCGGACGGCCCGCCCCGGCACGGGGGAAAAAGTTGCGCGGGGCGGCGCTGCCGCTCGGACTGTCACCCCGCAGAGGCGGACGGTGCCCGGGCTCCGGGCGGCCGCACGGCCCCGCACCGCCCCCTCCTGCCCCGCTCCCGTGCCCCGGCAGCCGCCCGAGAGGCAGCACCAGCTGCAGCGGATGCAGCAGGACTCGCTTTACCTCAGCGGTAGCGGCGGTAGTAGCAGCTGCAGCAGGAGCAGCAAGAGCGGCGGGGTCGTCACCACCTCTCTCCCACCGCCGGGCAGCAGCTGCCCCGCTCTCCGTCGTGCACCCGTCCCGCCGCGGTCCCGACCGCGCTCGCCGCCTCGGCGGTGCCGTGCCCGCCGCCGGCTCTGCCCCCGCCCCGCCCCCGGCGCCTCCGCCAACCCGCTCAGGCACCGCCTTCCGCGGCCGCCGACTGATGGCGGCACCGCCCGCCCTCCGCTCCGCCGGGGCCTCGGCGCAGCCCGGTACGGGGCCGGCGCCGCTGGGTTTCCCGCACCCCCCCGCCGTGGCCAGGGGCCTTTGGGTCGCCGTCGGCGACCTTCGGGCTCGGGGCCCAGAGATGCCTGCAAGCCTCGGGCGCCGCCTCAGCCCGGGGACGCCAGTCCGGGCCGGGAGGAGCACGTGCTTCTGCCCAGTTCCTCGTTGGGGATTTTCCTCCTCTCTTTTCCTTCCCGCCCCCCGCCCCCTATTAAGGTGGTGTGTCACGCTGGTGAAGTGTGAAATTGGTGAAGTCCAGAACAAAACCAGGCACCGTGGGCCGTGGATGCCTGGCTGTGTGTGGAGCAGGGCCGTGCAGTACAGCCAGCTGTCCTCCCTCGGTAGTCAGGAGCTCCCGCCGCGGGACTACTTGGTGACCGTGTGGAGTTGACCTCACACGGGTGTGAAAGAGCCCTGCAAGGCTGTATACTTGAAGGTCCAGGACCCAGACCCTGGAAGATGGTAAAAATGCCTTCAGTAGTCTCTAAAGACACAAAATTGCTTTTTAAATTTATACTTCTTTTGGAGTAGAGTGTTTGTACACAAGTAAAAGCATTGCTGTAATTTAAATAGTGGAGAGTAAAATTTTCGAGGAAAATGTCAGCTCATACAGGGTTTTATTTGGGGGGCGTGGTGGTGGGGGAAGCAGGTTTGTGGGATTGAAAAGGCAGGCAGAAGCGGTATTAAGAAATAATGTTTAATTTCTTCTGTCCAGACTGCTGTCTCTGGCATTTACTATTGCTGAAGGCAAAAACAGCATGGATTTTGGAGGGGATTAGGCAGACTGGCTGGTTGGGATGCCAGTCCTGGGCACTGGTCTAACAATGGGTATTTAGGGGAACTAAAGATCTCTCAAGTACTATTTCGCAGCTGGTGAGACTAGACTTGTCCCACAGGTGAAATGCAGGGCTAGAGTCGATGTCTGTTCTCCCTCCCTGCTGGGATGATATCCCTCAGTGGAGGGAAGAGTCTCCCGGGGAAGTTCCAGGACCACCTCCTTGCTTCGCCTCTGCCCTCCAGGGCATGTGAGTCTCTGCTTTTTTGACGAATTTTCTTCCCTGAACCTATGATTTCACCTTGAGCATCTCACTTGCTGCTTTGTCTGTCAATCAAAGAAAGAAAGGGATCCAAAAGAGAAAAATTAGGCAATAGCAGCATGTAAGTTTGATGCTCCCCTTGCTGGCTTTGCTGTCATGTGTGTTGTGACTTCAGTCTCAAGGTCACTCCAGCTCTTTCACACTTCTTTCCCCATAGATCCCAGCAGTATCCCAGTGTTTCTAGGAATAATTTCCTATGTTTAATCTTGGTAGGTGAAAGTTATACAACAAGGTTTGCCCTAGGAATGTTGCAAAGCAGTACCCTAGCAGACAGAAAGGAGAATGCACAAATTGAAAACTGTGTTCCTTCTTCTATCAAGTACTTTTCGGAGAGTCTTAAGGACTCCATAAAGCTTTTGCATATTAAGTTTACAGTGGGCTTTGATGCACGTCGATGTGTTTGATTAGTTCTAGGTTTGTTGAAAAGGATATTCTTGAGAAATTTAAAGGTTAAGTTAGTGATGCAGCATATAAATAGGAGGGATTTTCAAGGCAATGGTCAGTGAAAAGCAAAAGACAGAAGGGTAAAGTATGGGTAAGAGGGCAGGATCATCAAGGTACAAACACATGTTTTTGCTGAGACAACTGTAGTCTCCATCTGTCAAGAGACCTTTTGAGCATTTCTGCTAGAAGCTGCGTAGGAGAATGCAATAAAAAAGGTCCTTTTTTCAGTACTAGTAGCAGCTGGATGATATGAGCCTTTGCATCTTATGTCTGTAAGCTTTCTGTGGTAAAGGTCATGAAGCACTGGACAGGATCTACACTGGAAGCTCCCTTTCCTCTAGGAAAAAAGTTCAGCTTAATCTTACAAGGGAAATTTTAAAGTATGGAAACTGAGAGGAAAAAAATGTGCTTATCAGAGGATTTGTGGAGAAAGCAGAGTTTCCAGAGTACAGGGTCTCTTCCACTTCAACTCGATTTTTTTTCTTTACTGACACCTTTTAAGCAAGAAGATTTCCTTCTGTTTCTTATAAGATGTCAAGGCAAACCCATTTGTGAAGTAAGATGCCTAGATTAATGGACAGTGTTAAGTTCACGGTTGGACTCAATGATCCTAAAAATAGTTTCTAATCTAAATAATTCTATTATTTTATCAGTGCTGAATCTGATCTCCTGGGACAGATAGACAAAGGTGGAAGAGGCTGTGCAGAGTGTGATGGTGTGATGAATGCTAATGACACGTGCCATTGACTAAGTTCAGAAGAAGGTCTTGTGATTTATGACATATTATTATACCATCCTGCAGCAGTGGGGTTTTCAGGCAGCTGATTTCAGGGAAGGAAGTGGAGAAGAATCAATGCATACATCCATTTTGCTCCCAAAGAAGAAAATTATTTAATATAGTGTAGTTATATTGTTCTACTAGCACACATTGCTAAGTGACTCAAGTAAAATTTCCAATGCAATGGGAGTCACGGAAACAGCAGGAAAACTATCCGTAGTCATTGTAGACATGGACTAAATGCAAAATAAGTGCAATGGATCACAAGAAGGACAAGCATCAAAGACTATGAATGGTGATGCTTTCCTGTCATAGCCAGGACAAGGAAAACATTGGTCTTCAGAAATGTAGCTTTAAGTGTGTTTCAGAAGTCAAAACAGCAGCATGAAAAACAAGTTCCTTCACTTCTTAAAAGCTTTCTAGCATGTAAGGGAAAAGAATGAGCTAAAAATAAGACAGAGAAATTCAGGAAATAAAGAAGCAAAACTTGCTATCTCGTTACGAATCAGAGAAGTAAGCCTGACAACTTTCATTTTAAAACTGGAAGGAAGCTGATTAGCAGCATGCTAATCATGCTGGGTATCACAACGTGATTTGGTTTGAATTTATTTTTGCTCTGTGGGAAGGATAGAATGGTTTCTCTCTAGCCAAACTCTGACATCAAACTCTGACAAACAATTTCGATATCTCAGCTAATCAGACAAATCTGCCCAAGACATTTCCACTTTATACTCAGGTCATGGTTGACATCTAAGGCTGTTTTCCACTTTTCAAGATACAAGGTACCAGAGGAGGCAGTGGAGTCTCCTTCATTAAATGTTTTCTAGGATGGTAGTCAAATATCTGTCTGGCTGAGACACTGGTTGTCCTGACTCGGCCAAAGAGTGCAATTCTGCAAGTGGACATATATAGAAATTATCAGAAGGAGGCACAAACCCTGAAAAATTATACTTTCTCTTAAATAAATTTTCCCATGAGAATCAAAGCGGCCCAAAATTTGCTCCCCCTGCTCCCATCCGATATCTGAAAGACAGATGCTTGCAGTTGTAAAAAGAATATGGCCTTGCTTCTGCAATATGATCTTTTAGCAAGGAGTTTCTCCAGTCTGCTTTAGATCATATTTTTAGAACACAAAAGTAGTGGAAAATAAGATTTTTGTGTGCTGATCACATCTAGGAAATACTTTGTGTTCATGAAAATTCTTCAAAATATTTTGCTTTTAAAAAACCGCAAACTACTTTCAGTTATCTGAAAGTTGACTTTTTATTTAATTTTTTTCTTTAGTCTCGTAATTTTGACTAAATGTATGAAAATATGCATTTTGTCAAGAAACTTTTTAAAATCTGTAAGAAGTAAGAAATATAAATATACCATGTTTTTCCATGTCTGAAGCACAGCATAACTGACAAAATAATGTTATAAATATAATATCTGCAAATACAACATCTGTGTTTATCTTTCAACCATATAAAATTACATAAACAAAGATTCTGCTTTTTATGAATTCTATGAGTAATTCCTCCTCTGCTCTTTCAGTGCTTGTATGCTAAATGATAGAAAAGTCAGGTTTGACAGCCATGTACAACTCATGTCTTCTGTGTAGACAAGTGATGCAGAGCGAACAGAAATTTTAGGAGTTTTCTCAGGCACTGTATAGTTTTTGCATCGACATCAATACAGAGATTTCAGCTCTGTCTGAGTAAGACTGCTAGGAATAATAAGACCTCCATGTATAATAATGTACCTAAATATCCAGGGTCATTTGTAGCTGCATTTTCTATTGAGACTGTTTTCCTAAAGATGCCATTTGTAGTTTCCAATATTGACACTGATCACAGGGAGATTTTAATTCTGCAGAAGTAAACTCAGAAAAGGATGATGCTCAACTTAGGTTGAGACCATTTGGTAATTTTTGTATCAGTTTTTACAGAGTAAGAGTTGTGTCATTTCTTCAATAACATCAAGGTGGAAGGTGTCACATATTGTTACAACTTTCTGAGATATCTGGACCCTTAAATCAATTATTCAGAGGAATTGCTCATCACAGTACATCTCAGTATGGATGTTTGATAGGTGGTACACTCCCTTCTCTTTCAAAGTGGATAAGATGCAAGACCAAGCGTCAGAAAGCTTGCCAATTTAGATGTGTTTTTGTAGAGCCTGTGAAACCCACTGCAATATGTGCATGAATAATCCAGATTCTGCCAGGCAGGAACATGTGCTGTTGCTCCTACATAAAATGCATCTAAAGTGACATATCCAGCAATTACAGTACTGAGAAGCAAATAGAAAATTAGGGCTCATCCTGTGAAGCTAGTAGGAATTCAGGGCCAAAACAAAAGTGTATTTAGTATCCTCTTGCTTCCTGGACTAGGAAAGGAGGTGGGGTTTTTGGTTGGTTGGTTGGGTTTTGTGTTTGTTGTTTTTTTGTTTGTTTGTTTGGTTGGTTTTTTTTTTTGGTTTTTTGTTTTGTTTTGTTTTTTGGTTTTGTTTTTTTTGGGGGGAGGTTGGGGTTTTTTTGCGGGGCAGGTTTTTTGGGTGAGGAGTTGGTTTGGTTGTTTGTTTTGTTGCAGCAATAAATAAGTGATTTCTTGATGTTTAAACTGATGGGTCAGAGCTATCATATTTTTAAATTCTGAGAGAAATTTGCAATGTGATTAATTAGATGTATCAGTGCATTCTACTGCTAACTAACGGTGCAACCCCAAAATTTCAAGCTTTTTATTGCAAATATTATCACACAACATGACAGCTGTCATTTCAGCAAGTTAAAAAAGATAATGCAGGAGCTGTGGGCTGCACCTTAGAAAGTCAGGCTTCCTTAAATCTCAGTTAGTTGAGGAGGCTGTGAACATTTGCCTTTCACTTTTTTGTGGGAGAATGCATGGCAGCAAATTGCCTTTATTAATCCTACCTACTCCTCTTCCAAAGGAACAGCAAACAGAAGATTTTCAGTCCCACCTTTCAGCTATAGGACAGGATGATTCATCATGGGTCTCCTCAGTGCACATGCATGCCAACGAACACATATGCACATATAACTGATCACTGTTTGTGCCTGCCATCTGAGTAGGGTGTTTGTGTCATTTTACGGCAACAGCATAGTTGCTGTACTAAAAAAAGATATGTCTTACTGTAAAAAT